GCTCTGAGCAGAAAACCGTGTTATTTCAACTCCCATAATGTACCATTTTCTCTCTTTTACTTCTCATCTTCTCCAAAAGAAGAAGTTTTCCTTAAGTATCTACAGTTGGCAGATTCAACTTTGCATCTCTGGTAGATGGAAAAGAGAAAATCTGATTTTTAAAATCCTTGTTATCAATTGTGCAACAATTATTGTTGTACCCTGACTTTAGAAAGAATTCTACACGGTCCACATCCTTCTATTGGAAGCCTGAGCATCTTAAAATAATTTAAAGAAAAGAAAATAGATAAAAATATTGGAAAATATATTACTTTTATTCTTAAAGTAATGTTTATTTTGGAGTGGGGTTTTTTTTGTTGTTTTTTTGTTGTTTTTTTGTTGTTTTTTTTTTTGTTTGTTTGTTTGTTTGTTCTTGTTGTTCTGGAAAGCCCCAAATGAATATTCTACATCTGAGTTGTAAATTCCTAAATTCCCTCATAATCATGCCATAGTATCACGGGATGGTGAAATCAATAAGTAGGTGAGTGCCTAAAAATCCCATTTGGGTTTTTGACTGCAACTACACTCCTGAATTATTAAGCACCATTTAAATGCATTAATTTAAAATAGCAGCTGTTTATTTTATTCACAATTCTCAGTAGGAGTCTAAAACCCCTGGCACAAATGCACTCTTAATTTGCCTTGCTCCATCCATGGCATCTTTGAAGGCCATGGATTTTTGCAGGACCAGCTGGACATCCCACATGGAGAAGGTCCTGCTGTGCTTCCATGGTGAACACAAAAGAAGGGGTGGGGGTGGGGGGGGAAATGAGGTTTTTGCTGCTACCTTATTCTCTCTGAGCTTTTTTAAAGTATTTTTCTGCCTTGATCATCTCGTGGCCCTGCAGACTCGCTGGCAGGCTCCCCATCATGGCTCTGTTTGAAGGAGGATTTTTTAAAATTTATTCATATTTGTGCTAAGATTTGCAAGGTGGGATTTGGGTTCTGCTTTTTGGCCTACCCAGTTTTGCTATACTGAACACCTGGAAGTCAATTAATCACCACACCAATAACTGAGGGAGCTTTTCCCTATCGAGGAAAATAAATGATTGCATATTCCACCCTCAGACGGGCAAGATCTTGTTTGTTTTTTAATCACCTGCCTCTGCCAGAGCTTGTGCAGCCTTTCATGTTCCCCTTGGTGGAGGCTGGGATTTGAAGGCTGGCTGTTTATTCCGAGTGATCTCCCTGCCCCGCTGTGGCTCCGTGCTGACTTTCCCAGCACTTTTTCCAGCCTTTCCCTGCCAAACCCCCTAGTGCTCTTGCTTTGCCTCCAGTTGGTACCCATGGGCACCTCAGACACTTCACTCCTTCATTAATCTGTTTTCCCTTTCTTTTAATGAGTTTCCATCTCCTCATGAAGCTCCTGAGAAGGAGCCTGGTAGGGGATTTTTATGCCTCTTGCAAGGGTATTGGATGCCTATGGAAGACTTCTAGTTTGACTCCTAATTTTTAAAGCAATTATTTCTGATTAAGAACATATGCACACTTTCTTAAACTTCCTGTGTGTGCTTTGATTAATTTATTAACGTACTATTACCCATTTATATTAATGTAATGACTGCTTCATTGTTTTATGTTTTCATAGCCTGGAGAAGAGAAAGTTGTGGGGAGACCCCACAGTCCTATCCAGGGTCTGAAGGGGCTGCAGGGAAGCTGGAGAGGGATCCTGCAACAGGAACTGGAGTGACAGGACAAGGGGGAATGGGTTCAGACTGACACAGGGAAAATTTAGATGGGATATTGGGAAGAAATCATTCTCTGTGAGGGTGGGGAGGGGCTGGGGGTCGAATTCATAGAGAAGCTCTGGCTACCCCTGAATCCCTGGAGGTCTCCAAGGCCAGGTTGGTGAGGCTTGGAGCAGCCTGGGATAGTGGAAGGTGTCCCTGCCCATGGCAGGGGATGGCACTGGTTGGACTTTAAGGTTCCTCCCAACCCAGACCATTCCATGATTTTATAATTCTATCCATAAACATTTCAACAGATGGTGTATGATATCTCCTGGCTCTTGAGTAGCCCATTTTTGGTGTGTACAGTACCTGGAAAAACAACTTACACAGAAAAAAAAATTTAATGTATTTCACTTTTCATTCTCAGCTTCCTTATAATTAATTTCCTTATTGGACATGATTCTATTCAGCTGAGTGCTTTGTTTCTCAGGGTTTGGTGCAAAGGTGGCAATGTGGGATAAAACATCTTCCGTTCAGCCACAACCTGTTTCAAATACAGGGATTCTAAGTGCTGCTCTCCAGCTTTTCCTTGAACTGGAAAATAAAGCATTGTCCTTGCTATTCGAGTTATTTGTTGAACAATTCTGATTTTAGTCTTGGTTTGGCACAGACTCAGCCTGGCCTGCAATATTGTAATCATAGAATCCCAGAATCTCAGAATGTTTTGGATTGGAAGGGACCCTAAAGCCCATCCAGTCCCACCCCCTGCCATGGGCAGGGACACCTTCCACTATCCCAGGCTGCTCCAAGCCCCATCCAGCCTGTTCTTGGACACTTCCAGGGATCCAGGGGTAGCCACATCTTCTCTAGGCATTAATGGTGAGTTTAAACCCAGACTAACAGATGGGGCTGGTTTTATTGTGTGTTTCTAACTCAAATGTGGGGTTTCCTGAGAGGACTCCAACTGATTTGTGAATTTAAAATTTTAGTCTTAGTCAGTTTTCTGCACAATCTTCTCTCTTCCCATGCAACTTCTATGCCATCCTAAGGCCTTTTAAAAATTCAAGCAGATGTCAAATATATCTTCTTCTCTCTTTCTTTCTGCCTATTTTGAGCTCGTCTCCCTCATTACGCTTTTAAGAGTTTAATTTTTCAGAGTCTCAAATGGAATTGGATGATGGCAAAGGACTTGACCAGTGGGACAGAGACAGGGACAAAAGCCACGAGCAGGAGTGGAGTGAGGAGTTTTTCAGTCCTAATTTGGGAGGCCAAGAGCCTCCATCCTCACTTTTTAATGTGCCTATCCCTGACATGTCTGTACCTCAAATTACTTTGGTGTGGAAAAGGCTGGAAGAGCCTCTGGACTTGAGAAACCTGTTGGAAATGACTGGGGGGGACACACCTTAGGGTGTGGTGGCAGGTGACCTATGGGGCTGCCAATCCATACCTTCACAAGAGGTCAGTAAACTGCCTTTCTTCCATCCCTGGCTTCTCCTCCTCCTGGCTCATCCCTTTTCCCTCAAAGTTTCACCCCAGCATCACCAAAGCTCTCACATCTCCATTCCAGCTCTCAGCAGGATGATTTCTGACAGCTCTGTGCCAAAACTTGGCCGAGCATGGACTTGTCTCATTCCTATTCCCACGCTAAATTTCAAGTCCCCTCTTGCGGAACACAGAGCTTTCCAAAGGAAAGGCTGCCAGGGCGAGTTGTATGTGGGGAAGAAAAAAAAGATCCTATGGCTTTTCACAGAGCTCATTAAGGGTTTTTGTCATGCAGGGAAACATTCCAAGAGGAGGGGAAAGCCTGGAGTGCACACATCCATGTGTGGTACATTTGTGGTTGGTTGAGCAGCCAAGGTCACTGAAACTGTGGGAGTTGGGAATGGCAGCTCTGGAGTTGCCACTGGAGGCTGGATTGACAGAGATGAAAGCTGGCACCAGTTTTGGGGTGACCTGATTGTGACCTTCCAGAACCTGAAGGAACTACAAGAAAGATGGAAAGAGACTCTTTACAGTTGAGTCTTTACAGTGGATGGAGTGCCAGAACAAGGGGGAATGGCTTCCCACTGCCAGAGGGCAGGAATAGATGAGATATTGGGAAGGAATTGTTCCCTGGGAGGGTGGGCAGACCCTGGCACAGGGTGCCCACAGAAGCTGTGGCTGCCCCTGGATCCCTGGAAGGTCCAAGGCCAGGCTGGACTTTGGGGCTTGGAGCAGCCTGGGATAGTGGTAGGTGTCCTTGTTCATGGCAGGGGGTGGGAAATCTTGGATCTTTAAGGTACCTTCCAACCCAAACCATTCCATGATTCTACAATTCTATCTCCACGTTAAGCATTTGAATTCACTTCCAAATAACTGTGAATTGTTCCCACATCCATCCACACTTTTCCAACGTAGCTATCCCTGAAATGTCTGTACCTTAAGTTTCTTTTGCAGTGTGTATTTGTGGATCACAGTCATTCCAGCTCCTGGTGACGCTCCAGTTCAATTTGTTGTTTTCCTATTTTCAGGCATTTGCTGTGTTTCACTGTGTGACGGCTGAAATCCCTGATTTGAGGGACTATTTATAGAAACACAGCCAAGTATTTGTGAGCTTCCTTTATCAAGTGCTTACTGTCTGCTTCTAAGCTGATAAGGGGTCTGGAGCACTTTGCCCATGGAGCCAGGCTGGGAAAGTTGGGGCTGGAGAAGAGAAGGTTGTGTGGAGACCTCACAACTCCTTCCAGGGTCTGAAGGCTTATAGGGAAGCCAGAAGGGGACTTTTCATCAGGAACTGGAATGACAGGACAAGGGGGAATGGGTTCAGACTGACAGAGGGGAAATTTAGATGAAATATAAAGAAGGAATTGTTCCCTGGGAAGGTGGCGAGGCCCTGGCGCAGGGTGCCCAGAGAAGCTGTGGCTGCCCCTGGATCCCTGGAAGTGTCCAAGGCCAGGTTGAACACTGGGGCTTGGAGCAGCCTGAGATAATGGAAGGTTTCCCTGCCTATGTCAGAGGGTGGCACTGGATAGGCTCTAAGGTCTCTTCCCATCCAAACCATTCTGGGATTTTGTGGTTTCTTTCCTCTGGGATCTATCCTAAAGCTGTGTCTCACAGAAAGGAGGTTTCTATAGAAATTTATATGTTGCTTGGCTAATTTGCATTCAAAGGGGCCATGAGCTGTAAATATTCTCATTCTGAAGGTTTTTTCTCCTCCAGTACCCTTCCCCATGAGATGTTGTTGTGTTAAACCTCTAGATCTCCCTGCTGGCTTTCTAACTGCTCTGTTTCCAATGTGATTTCTCATTTCAGGCCCGTGTGAATCCCATCAGTGTCACTCCACCCATCCAAGCCATTGATCAGGACCGAAACATCCAGCCTCCTTCTGAGCGACCTGGCATCCTCTATTCCATCCTAGTTGGTTGGTGTCTGCTACTTTTCCTATCCCTCCAAACCAGTCCCTCTGGTATGACCAGCCAGGAAAAGATGGGAGGGTGGAACCCTTATAAAAATTGCTCTTGTGGTCAGTGGGATGTTTGGAATTGTTCTTCTGCCTGTTGGTGTTTAATTGCGACACGGAAGTTCATGTCACGTGGTTATTTATTAGTATTTATTCAAATTTAATCCAGAATTGTTGTCTGGTTTAGTGAAAGGAACAACACGGTGAGGGAAAGGAGACCTCTGCTAGGATGTGTTTTCCATTGACAGACACAAAAAGAGAGGCTAAAAAAGGTAATTAGACCAGATTTCATCCCAAAAATCATGTGGCATAGGGTAGCTCCAAGGATCTTACCACACCCACCTCCAACTTTGCTGCCTGTGCACTTTGCTTTGTAATTCAAAGTTTGTTTAGTTGTTTATGCTTCTCTCTCTTCTTTTTCCTGCTGCTTCCCTCTGTTTGGCATTTATTTCTGGGCTTGTAGGATCTGACCATGGAAGGGCCTGAGGGTGGTTGGTAGTTGCAGGGCTCTACGTGCCCAGCTGTTCCCAAAATCCACACACCAACCTTTCTGTGGGATTTGGAAATGGGGAATTCTGTGGAATCACATCATTTCCCTATCTTCCCTATGTTGAACCCCATGGTTTTCCCAGCCAAGGAGAGGTGGAAGTGAGGATTTTGAGGAGTTCATTGTGGAAGTTTAGTTCTGCAAATGGACTTATTTATAAATGTCATAAATTGATTTTATTCCTAAATTCTGCAGGGAGAACTCCACCCCAGGGCCAGGTTTAGGCGAACTTCTTAAGGTTTTTTGCATAATTTATAAAGTTCTTTGGGAGTGAAATTATTAAGCATTGCATGTCATTAACCTGGGTTGTTGGGAATATTGGAATGGCTGTTCTGACCTCCAAGAAATAATTCAGAAAGGTGTGGTGCAGCAATTTGGGTTAGTTTGGGGACCTTTTCTTTTCTTCTCTTTTCTTTTTACTTCTTTCATTTTTCTTCATTCTTTTTCCTTTATCCTTCTTTACTTTTTTCTCCTTTCCTCCTCTATTACTTCATTCTTTCTTTTTGCTTTCTTTTTTCTTCTCTTTTCCATGTCTTTTCCTTCATTCTTCTTTCTATTGTTTCCTTTCTTTTTCTTCTTTCTATTTCTTTTCACTTTTCTTATTATCCTTCTTTTTCCCTTATATTTTCCTTCTTTTTCCCTTCCTCTATAACTTTTTGGCTCTCTTTTCTTTTCTCTTTTCTTTTCTTTTCTTTTCTTTTCTTTTCTTTTCTTTTCTTTTCTTTTCTTTTCTTTTCT